TTTTTAGTTCACCATCCGTATTAGTTGAGGCTAATGACGTTCCAACCGTTCATTTAGTAGAAGAAGAGTCAATAGACTTAGAATTAATAAATGGAAGTCCTATGACAGTTAGGATTTGCAACGCATACTTTCGGGCCAAGTTATATAATTACAAATTTGTGAAGCAAAGTAGGTTCTATTTAAGAATGATTTGGTGCCCATTAAAGCTAGGTCTGTTTAATTATACAGTAAATATTAAACGGTTGAAGAATGAAAAAGAGTACATGAAAAGGTATCATGTTAAAATTAAAGATTTAATATATAAAGATTTTATAAATTTGATAATAAAATCCAAGACCGTTGCAAGGTGTCTAAACATATAAGTTAAAAAGCAGATACAATAAATCGAATTAAATATACAGTCCACTAATTTTATATTTGCATTGTTAACGAAAAGAATTTATGTAATTGATAACCTCTTCACCGCATCTTGCCGCCCTTGGCAGAATGTTCAAGAAGAACACCTTTTATAATAAATCTAATATTTTACGAGTTCAGTACATGTCAATATGTAAATTGATCTAGAGCCGTAAATAACGATCTGTAACTCAAACCCTACAAGGGTGCAGTGCTAACACTTGTAATCTTAAGTACAGGCCACTTGAGCCTGACCATAAATATAGTTCTCACACTGCAGAAAAGGGTCGCATTGCAGGAGGCCGTTGATAAGGCTCCCGCTCAGGCAAACAGATGTGGTCTCTGCGTAGACCATAGATAAGTATATTATAAGAATTTCATGTTAGCTACGTAAGCAAAGACTTAATGAAATAAAATCAGTTTTTATACAGAACTCAAACGTGAAGGTTGTTTTCCTTATTACAGGAACCCCTTCCACTTTGAGAAAATAAATATGCCGTTAAAGTTGAGAAATACTTGATAGCCAATATAAAAATGTATATCAATATTGGCAAAAACCTCTAAAATATAATTCGCCATTAAATTCAATTTTGAGAAGCCCAAAATTTCTGTTATTAAAACTTCCCAACTTTAATCACCTGCAGAAACGGCAGCCATCAAAATTTCTCTCTACGTTAGCAGACAGATTTTTTCTCAACTATTTTCTGCTTTTCATTAGCCACACTGGAAGCAACAAAAAACTGGAAGCCTGCAAACAAATGAGTAACATAATTAACACCGGAAACGAAAGGACACGGTAAAAACTGTGGCAAATTAAAAATTGAAGTATGCAGTTGAGGAAGCCGGAAAACCGAGAAAGTCCGTAAAAGGAGGCGCCCCTAGCTAAAAACACACGGCATTTTGTATTTTGTAGGGCGCGCCGGCAAATATAAAATTCCCTCACAATGTTGCACCAACGGAACAGCAACGGAACGGCACACACTGGGCAAATAATAATTTGCATGTTAAGCTGCTCCGAAAATAAAGTGCAAAAGAATTTGCAGTTCGCATAAAATAGTCATAAACGGAATTCGCTCAGCCTTCTCGGGAAAATGCCCGCCGCCGGAAAATGGAGGAGGCTACAAAGTAGCGCATCGGTAATTTCATTTTCTATTTACATACAAACGCACACCCATGTGCTGGATATAGGCGTACATACATACAGATGCAGGCCGAGATACACGCATGCACAAATTAAAAATGCATTAAAGTCAAATTGCAGTGCAGCACATTCACATATGCCAACCAAACAGTGCGTATCATAGCTTTAAGGCAGCTAAAAATAAAGCGATGGTGCATGAAAATTTCGGAACAGTTAAATATATAATTTTAAAAAATATTTCTACATTTTCTATATTTTATTAAAAAAGAAATAACAACAGTTTAAACTGGCTATTTGCGGAATACTTAAAGCAAAACGAAAAGAATTTTTTTTAACACTTATATTTAATTTAAAATGTCTCACTCACTTTTTATTTTGAAACGCACTGTTCATATATTTGCTAGCGGGTTGTCATTAAGTTACAAGCCCAAAAAAGTTTTTACAGCTCTGAGGACATGTGGATATAATATGTACATAAAAGGATACATGTCTGGGTACATAGCCCGCGTCTTACATATATCTTGAGATTGGAGTGCCAGCCATTAACCAAAGCATCATCTGGGGTTTGAGGGATGTGGACTTAAAATGAGTGTGTAATTTAGTCATTAATATTCATTTAAAAGTTTAGCATTCGCTGAGAGCACATAATGAAGATAAATCCTTTAGTGGCTTATTTCGGGTAAATAGGCGGATATACAATAGATTATCTTTTTAATACTTCCCAAATTATTAAATTATTAAAAAATAATAATAAAAATATAATTCTAAGATTCCAAGTGACTGCTAATGCCATTTTAAACTAGTAATTAAGATCGATCTTGTGTTTATCCAATACCATTTACATGCACCATTTTCCCCATTTCCCATCAATAACTCACGAATGTCAGGCCGGCAAGTAAACACAAATTAATTTCTGCTGTCAACGGCTAGACAAAGCCTTCCGATGACTAGGCTATGTTGAGGACATGAATTAGCTGCCGCTCCTCCCATGTCCTTGACAATGGCGAAATTCAGGATACGGGGAAAATTATCAGCTCATTTGTCAGTCGGCGCCGAGAGGTGGAAAATAAATTACGCGACACTTTAGCCACCAAGCCTTGTAAGTTGACAATTCTGTTTGAGTTGGAGTATGTGGGTGGCTTGGTTGTTAGCCCACTTTGACATCTAGGTGGGTGGTTCCCGGGTGCTTCTAGGGTGGTTTTAGGGTGGAAAATTGCCTACATCCACACAAAGTCACGCACAACAGCAACAAGACGCGTTCCGTCTGTCTGGTTTGTTTGTTTGTTTATTCCGCGCGGCTTTTGTTTGACACAAGCCATTTGTCAACTCATTATTAGCCCTTGCAGCAAGTGTTGCTAATTGAAAACGTGTTTCAAGTCAAATTCCCTTCAAGTTGTAAATTGATCAGCTTTTTATTGGGTTGTCACATCGCGCTGACCGCTGTCCAAGAGAAATTGTCAGGGAGGCCGCGCCCCTCGTGAATGGCACTAATTAAACCGCATTTGCACTTCGTCAGCGGGCGTCTGAAAAGTCCTTTATCAGCGTCCAAAAAAGGAATACTTTTGGTTTTACAAGAAATCAATCCCAAGGTACAAATTAAATGCTCTTTGGGAACAATTTTGGCATTTTAAAAATATTGTAACCACTCAAAAACATAGTAACGATTTTGGATCCTTATTCGAAGCACAATTGTTTATTTTAAATTAATTTAAATACTAAAATTTCTTTTTAAGCTTATTAATTAAACAAGTTTGTTATAAAACTTATTACTATTAATTTATTATTAATTTAATAGATCTATCAATTAAGTTGCCACGTTATAACCAAACCACTAGGAAAGAGTATATACAAAAAAAACAATTATCTGCTAAATGACTTTTAATGAATTTTATTCGACGGCTTTTGTGTTGTTTCTTTTTTTTATTTGCTTTTCAGCTTGTCAGGTGGATTTCGGTTTTGCGGGTATTTTTTTCGCTGCACATCCACGGAGGGATAAGCCCATTTAAAATGCAACCCGTTGCCAACTGACCCCGAGCAAAGTTCAGGGGCCACTAAGCCGGGCCTTGAGCTACGTGATCCTGTTTCAGCTCGGTCGTAAAATCTGTGCACACATAAAACTTAAGCAAACACACAGCTTGAGCTGCTTTATTTTCGTGTGACTGAGTGAGTGTGTTTCTTTTGGCCCCCGATTCTTTTTGGTTATAAAACTTCCAGTCGAAATAAAAGGGTCAACATTGTGATTTTATGTGTGTGAGTGAGACAGTGGAGGCAGCGTTTCCGTTTCCGGCTGCCGAACTACAACTTACTTAGCGCGCAAACAAAGTGAAGTGTAACATGATATGTTGACATGTGTGGGTGCGTAATTCAATAGCAAGCTGGAGTATTTGAAGTGCTGTGGTGCGTAAAGATGTGTAGTCCAAAAGCTCCACCCATCAAACCAACCAACCCAACATCCCACTCGACCATCTTTCAACTTGGCTCTTAGTGTCAGTCATGGTGGATTAAGCAATTGAAATTAGATTAGACGCAGTCTCTCAGTCCGTCCAGCAGCTTCAATTTGCATGTGTCGGTAATCCCGCTATCTGAGCCAACCAACTGACATGTCATGGCAAAGGCTTAGACGCAAGTAAGTAACCCGCCTTTCGAAACCCAAGTTCAGGTCCTACGGCAACTGCACTTTGGAGCTCCGGAGGTAAACAGAAAGCGCTCTGCAGCTGGCAAATAAATTAATGTTGCCTCCTAAGTTCCAATTCAATAAATTATGGACCAGCACGAAAATACGACACTCAGAAAAATAGGCATGAAAAACTTGTCATTCATCCATAAGAAAAATAATGTAAAGTATGTAATCACTCAGAAATATGTCTTTAAATATGCAGTCATAAAAAGAAAATATATTAATCTGATTCTTGTACTTAAAAATATTGTTGCATACTTTTCGACACTGTTCTTAATGATTTCAATTCGGTAGTAACTGGTAGTAATAGTAATTATAATATATAAAATATTATAGATCATTAGTCAAACTATGGAATGATATTTAAGAATTTAAAATACCCCACAAAATCTGTTTAAATAATTTTCCCCAGTGTACCACACATTCATCGATTTGTCTTCGTATGGATAACAAGTGTAAGGAGCATAAATTTCATTCAAGATGTTGCCAAGCGACCGCAGAAATAAAAGTAAGGAAAGTAAGTAAAAGTTGCGCACTTTGATTTGGCCAGAGGTATCAGAGGTAACTGAGGTAGCCGCAAAACAGAGCCAAGTATCGTGAAAGCATTTAAAAAGTTCCTGAACGTGTAAGGGCGCGTGTACCAGGAATGTATCTGGAAATAGAAATAGACTTAGCTTAGACCTGCACCGGCGAGGCTTAGCAACATTTTCTTTGCGGGTGCTTAGCAACATTTGGGCTTAAGAACATTTGGGAGAGGTAGAGCAACATGCTGCGCTCCTAATAGATCCGGGAAAACTGTGGCTGTGTAGGTTGATCGAGAGCAAGGAGTTGCAAAGATTTTCGCGCCTCTCCGTTGCTGAATGGCGGAGTGGTGGAATAGCGGCTTGGTGGCGTCTTGCGGGGGTATATAAGGCGGCCCACTGGCGGCCGCAAGCCATAAGCAAAGTGAATTTTCAAGTGTGTGAAATTAAAAGTGGGTAAAGGAAAAGTTTGTCATGTTAATGCTAATGCTAATGAGCTCTTGTTGCAGCTTCAACATAGCTTTAGCGTGCACCTTAAATACCTTTTGTGTGTTTTTCTGGCCACTTGCAACTGCAGTGGCTCGCGAAGGGTGAGTGAAAGATTGCGAATTGAGGGTGGCTAGACCGCTAATTTAGGCTTTGTGGCACAGGACCAACGAACGCTTCGAGGCAGAATCCACTGAGAGGCGGTACAACCACAGGGCGTCTCAACTCGTGGCATCTGAGGCGCGAGTCGCCACTATTGGACAACGGCGCTTTTAAGCGCCACCCAAAGAGAATCGTATAAAAGCGTCGTCGAAGCCAGACGAGCCATCCATCGGCCAGACGCAGAGGAAAGGCCGCAGCTTCCGGATTTTCCACCGGACGCCGCTTCTTCGGCGTAACACACAAATTTTTTTCCGACCATTCGTTTTCTTCCTGAATCGGAGCTCCCAATCCAGCGGAATTTATTCCCGCCCAAACCCTTTTAAAATAACATTAGATTTTAATAATTAAGTTACTTTTCTTTTTTTTATTACTTTTATTTAAAACAAAACCAAATCGATAAACAAACAGCCTTAAAACCAAACTAGAACAAAAGTCGAACGTAGCGCGAGCAAAACAAACAAAGTAAAAGGAAAAAAAACATTACATAATATGCGCGAGGCTTGTTAGCGAGGCAGGCGAAATTTGCTTTTAAATATATTTTACTCCACAGATGCGGTAGCCTCGTATGGAAGCGCTTTCAACGTAGGATGCGGCACTGGTAATGAAGTGAGTCAAACTTATAAAATCTAAACAATTTAACTCTAAATAAGCGAGCGCGAAACAGAGAAATTTTGCGAGTCAAATATTAGGCAAAGCGCACAGGCGCAATGCATCGCGACAACTAAAAGCGAAGCAAAGAAGAGATAAGAACATAGCGCGCTAACATCCCTCCCTTTCCCCTCGCCGCCACTCGGGCGCATGAGCAGCGGCATCAGCGCTCGCTAGCAATCGCGCATGCGCGCCTGGTGGTTTTGTCTCGGCCTGCTGACGAAGTTTTCGTTCTAGCGGATGCACATATGTTTTTGTTTTGGTTTCGATTTAATTGGTTTTATATGTTTGGCAGCTCGGCCTGCAGTCGCATAAGCGAAATTAGAGGATTACGATTTGCGAATGCAATCTAGGGCACAACCAATTAAGAATTTATTTTAATTTAATGTTTAAATGTTAGTTGGTATTTTTTTTTATTATTACGTCCCCATTTTTTTTTTAAACTCTCGAATTTATATTTTTTATGTTTCTATGTTTAATGTTCAATGGTAGTTTTAGTATATAAATTATAATGTATTTCTAAAGAAATTTAGTAGTTGAACTCGAGCTGGGGCAGCGCCGGTAAGATGTGAAGGGGCCGTTGAAGGAAGTCTTTCAAAGGAAGAAACGGCCAAGGTAGGGTGGGCTATCGACCACAACAAGATCAGTGGTTGTATGTAAATTGTGTATGTCCGAGAACGTCAGGGGTCAAGTTCGTAGTTTTGTTATCTCCGGTTGTAGTTACGTTTTACAGTGCATGTCTATGTGTATCTGGGAAATGAATTTTGTCGCAGCACGCTAATTTTAAGATAGGCTGACAACGCGTAGGCATTTTTCGGTGCAACACCATTAAACCACCCCTCAAGCCGACGAGCACAGCCGATGACTAAAAGCGTGCGTTGCATCGGAAAGTTTTCCAGCTGCCTAAATTAACGTTATTCGTTACAAACGAAAACATTTAACATTTGGCCAGGCTAAGAATGCAGGGAAAACTTTGCCGAAACTAAATTCTTCAGGGGCTCGAGCCACGTATCGTTGGCCGCAGGAGAGCAAACATTAGGTTAGACCAGCGGTCGGCACACACATACGTTGACATTTTGTTTTATATTTGTGTGAGTAATTTGCACTGGGCAGCTCATCGATGTGTGTGTGCAGACCGCTGTTCTACGTTATACATGTGCGAGCAGCGCGCCGGCAGAACAAAACCCTATGCTCACTTAATAGGGCGCTGCCGACCGCTGGGTTAGACAATAGATTGCCAATTGAAGTAACCGATCCGGCTGATTGTAGACCATCGGTTGGGTTTCTGGTCCAAATAAAATCTGAAATGCCATTTGAAAGCCGGGGAGATAACTTTTTTGATACTTTAAAAATGTGTTTTAAAGATATGGCTTTAAAATATAAAAATATTTTTAGTTATCAAATATATTCTCAAAGAGATATCAACAAAAACATTTCTATAACTTGTTGCTGCTTGGAACCCACACCCTCTGTTGAATAATAAACCGGACCACAAGGAGAATTTCTCACAAACGTTCTTTCTTTATCAAAAAACTCGGCCAGCGCTTAGCTCACATAAATATAGTTTCCAGCTGTTTCCATGAAGTCTGCTAATTGGTGCAGAGACAAAAAGCCTGCGGCTAACTTACACTGGAAACACACAGAATTTCATTAATTTAAGAGTCGACCAAGCGACTGCACTTAATCCACACGGCAGCCGAGTGGGCCGAGCATATTTTATAAATGAATTAAAATTCCCAGCAAACATTTAAACTTGCCAAAGGCAAGGGCAAAGCGAAAATTTTGGGCAGAAATATAAAATTTAAGCCACTACTTAAAAGTTTCGCCTTTGCATCGAAAGTTAGCCCGGCATCAGAACTCAAACTCGCAATGACCTCAACAATTTGCTGGCCAAGGGACGAGGTGTGTTTGTTTGTGCGAGTGAGCCTTAAATGCTGCTGACCCCAAGGCAAAGTTAGAGAACTCGATGAAATTTTCAAATTGATTTCGCTAATTTGTTGTGTGAACTTTTTTGGTTCGGCCCAGACGATGATGATATTATTGCATTTAAATATAGATTTTTCATCGCCCAGGGCGTCCAGACATCTAGGTTGACACACGCCCACAATCGCAAGTATTTTTCAAAGCCAAAAACAAAAGAAGCAGGCCAACAAAGGCAAAAAATCATGGCCAGACATTTGACAACGCAACTGAGTAAACAAAGATATCAGTTACCATGGGATGTTCTGGGGTCTGTGATAAACTAGGGGGTAATTTGCCACGCCCACATTGCCCACGCACCCCTTCAAGCAGATGAGTTCTCATTTATATGGCATTCTTTTGGGTTTCTTTTTAGGTGTCGCCCAACATATGAGCCCGGGTAATTAAAGCAATGCGATGGCGGAGTGCTGTTAACATGACAAGCAATTTGTTGCGCCGGATATCGTGGCCGTGTGGAAATGGAGTTGCGGAGAGGTCTCACCGCTGACAGGTGGAACTCGAGAAATATGGCAGATTTTCCACGGAATAAAGCCAGTATTATGTAGCTCCATAAAAGGTTTCAATGGATTTACCACTGTGAAAGTCGATAAATTTAGAAATCAGTTGGTGTTTGTGAAAACTAACTTACAGTATTGTGTGTTACTGCTATTAGGCAAAAATATTTTTAAAAATATTTTTACAAACATTTAGGATTTTAGTCTGTTACATTTAATATTTACACATCACTTCATAAACTACGATTTCATAAAATAAATCAACCATTTACCTTAATAAAAGAAAGGTGGAAGTTGTGTTAGTTCCACAGGACTAAGGACTTCCAACATGTTCGATGGAAACACTTTTCATTCTGCTTCCTCACAAAATTTCCCTCTGTTAAGTCGAACCTCGCGTAACATGGATGCCGAAGTTGGTTCACCACTTCAGTTCGTCGTGGATTCTGTAAGTGTGCGGTTCAGGGAACGGATACAAAGTGCGGCAAAATATTGCAAAATACAAATAGAATTTTTAAATAAATATTTAAATAAAATTAAGTGTGCCAAAAAAAACACAAAATATTTCGAGATGTATGAAAAATAATTAATTAAAACATAAAATAGTGCACGTATTTTACAAATCAAAAATAAAAGTAATCACACGATTAAAAGGAATATGAAAAATTAGCAGATCCTGAAAGATTGGATTGTCAATCGCAATCACAAACGACCGCCCGTGAATTCCACACCCAATGTTTGGATTCCTATACAACGCTTTTTGTATTTATCGGAGCAACTGTGGCAGCAGTGATTTCTTAACAAAAAATCAATAAATATGAATTTAAATTGCTGAAAGTGCTCTTCGGCGGGCATAAATAAGTAATATCGCATATGGTTCCAGGCGACTGACTGCCCCAGTAAGTATGCAACGTTCGATTAACTTGTAATTTCAGCCTCGCCCATTTATACACTCGCATAAATGGGCAAACATTTCGTCCGCTTAAAATTCATGCGATAAGGGAAAAATGAAGAAAAAATTGGCAAACGCAGCACAACCTCCCTTTACAAAAATCAAGCATAATTTATGCGTTCCTGTTACCGTTACCGTTAACCGGTAATGTCGATAATGTCGGGTGCCTCATTGCCTCCGATATACCAACATATATGTTCGGCTGCCATTTTCCCAACGGCTTGTTTACCGTTTTCGGCCTTGTTGGGTCCCTTTATTAACCCGTTTGCGTTCGCGTTTGCCACTGCAGTTGGCTTAAACTGTTCATTTCCGCACTCGGACATCGACTGCCATTTACTTATGCCTGTTTAACAATAATGCATTTTCGATTAATGGATCGAACGGAACTGTCGAGTAAATCCTTGAGTTGGTTCAACTGCAATCGTGTAATGGAGAATCATTAATTGATGAAATATCCGAGCATGCACATCCTGTAATTAAGTTTTTCCAGGACGAGAGCTCTGAAAAGTCTCTGAATATTAAGAGAAGGTGGATTTAAAAAAAAAACATTTTTCCTTTAGGGGTCTTAAATTAAAATATAAAAATATTTAGTAAGTTTAGAATTTATTTATTTATAATAAGAAGCTCCGAACTTTTTTTAAAAATGTTGTTTTCAGGATTATAAATCTTAAGAATCTAGAATATTGATAAACTAATTAAGACGGGAACAAATTCAGTTAATTCTCAATCAAACTAAAATAGTAGAGGATGGGAAACTATTTATTGTTTGTGTTTAATTTATATTTATAAGTCAAATCAATTTTATTCTATTCAAATTATAACCCTTATATCCTTACATCCCTTACCATTAGAATTAAGCTTTTTCAGATTTTTTTGCTCGTTTTTACGCCCTGTATAAATTCCTCCCACTCTCAGCTGCATTTGCATAAACACATGACAAAGAAAATTCCACCGGAAAACCCTATCGTCAATTTGTCAATGGTCTTGGCAGTGCAGTTGCCAACATTACGCCGAAAAAGATTGATGATGATATCCAAATACTTTCAGACTTTGAGCCGATTTTCTTGACTTTTTTCGCGTTGGCCTTAGAGCTGCCATAAAAATGTGAAGTACAGATAAAAAATCAAAAAGAGAAAAATGCCAGGGAGAATAATTTGCATGGCTTAGGTTTATTGCGGTTGCCTGGTCGATGCGGTGATTGTAATAAATCGTCTGATAAAACAATTCAAAAGTCATTAAATACGGTTCCTTGTCGCTGGCATTGCATTAATTTGGGGCATGGGCTCCGGGATCTGGTCTCTCTCACAATTTAGGACGCTGACCCAAATGCATTTTTTTATGGCCCAACATCGAAAGTCAAAGTAATTTAATTTCGGTTTCCCTCTTGCGCCACTTTTATGACACACAGAGCCATGGCGTTGACAGTTTTCTTGCCGCTTTTTTATTTCATTTTTTCGTTTAGACGGTTTTTCGTTTTTTTTTTTTAAATCGTCAGCCAGGCAGAAAAGTTGTCAGTCGAGTTGAAAACTGTGGGAAAGGAAGAAGATTCAAGTGAAAAGTGCTTTTTTAACTTTGCCTTCGTTAAAACCTTACAAATGGCGCTAAGTTAACAAGCCCAGAGACAATGTCAATGTAATTTGAAAGGAACTTTTATTAGCGCACGTTTCAGTCGGCAGACAAAAGCGTGAAAAATGCTAATTAAATCTAATGTAAATACCGATACTGAAAGTCAACTCAAAGTGAAGAAAATGGTCGGAGAAGCTGTTTCTTATTTAAGCACTTAGCGAGAATAGAGAACAAAACAATTAGAACTTAGTGGGCAAAGGGTCAACAAAGATGAAAAATTAATTACTCGCTTTGACATTTATTCGAATTTATTTTTCACTGTGAAATAATACTTTAATTTAATGTAAACAACTAAATGTGATTAAATCTAGTCCTATATAAGAAAAAATGTTTCATTCAAACCCAAAAGAATACCAC